TCTTTTTTAATAAATCTGCAAAAATGTCAACAATTCTGTGTTTTTCTGTCAATATGGGGTGCTGTGTGTACATTAATGAGGAAAAAAAATTAACTTAAATGATTTTAGCAAATGGCTGCAATATAACAAAGAGTGAAAAATTTAAGGGGGTCTGAATACTTTCCGTACCCACTGTAGGTCACACTGTCGCCTACAGCTACAGTACGATTTTGTTAGGTGATAACTTGTCAATTTGTTTTTCTGGTTTTACTGTATTTGCTAAAATAAACTTATTTCGAATTAATCATTGTAGCATGGTAGAAGATTAACTTTTTAAAGTTTGTGGTTGGTGATATAAGATATATGGTAAGATAAGGTATTTTTGAAAGAAGTCTATGCTCAACAAGGCTGCATTTACTTGACCAAAATGCAGTAAAAACAGTCATATTGTGAAATGATTACAATTTAAAATAACTTTTCTATTTTAATACATTTTATAATGCTTTTATTCCTCCGATGTCCTCTCAGTCTTCAGTGTCACATGATCCTTCAGAAATCATTCTATTATGCTGATTTGGTGCTCAAGCACACTTCTTATTAATGTGCTGCTTAATATTTTGGTAGAAACCAAGATACCTTTTTTTTTAAGATTCTTTGATGAATAGAAAGTTCAAAAGGACTGCATTTATTTGAAATTAAAACCCTTTGTAACATTATAAATGCCACTTTTGATCAAATTAATACATCCCTGTTGAATAAATGTATTAATTACTTAAAAAAATTAACTACTGACCCTGATTTTTAAACAGTGCATCTGTAGCACAAATTGTGCATCTTGGGATACATGCTGAAATGTCCCCCTTCCCCTCCCAGATCACTAACCCTAAGTATGAGCAATTATAATAGTGATATTTTACACTAATTAAAAGCCAAGTGAGACCAAATGTTGGCAGCTTCTTTTAATTCTTAATTAAATATGATAAAGACATATATTTGCTGTCTGCAGGCCTGAATTGACTTTAAATCTGAAAATAAAGTGCAGCAGCAAAAAAAAAAATACAATGTGCATTTAAAAAAAAAAAGAGGAAACAAATGTAACAGGTGTTGTGGAATAGATTCAGACACATACTACAGTATATTTAGGGAATAAAATATTACAGGTCTTTGGAAATCAATCGCAGCAGATGTGCTCTCAAAATATACAGTTCCTTTGAATAAAGTTCAATCCCATTGGTAAAAGGCACCGTCTCTGGAGAAAAATAAAAAAATAAAAACACCACCACCACATTGGCAGGCAAAGCTTTCAGTTTATAATGTTAGCATGTCAAAAACAGCCCAAGCTAACATTCTGACCGATTTCTGTTGTGTCTTCCTTAATATAAGTACAGATAATTCAGTTATCTGCACTGGAGTGATAAAGCAGTGTGTAGCAGATGTGACGAAATTCTCCCTGAGAATAACACTGCCATTCACTACCGGCCTGAGTGCATCTTCATAATTGATTGTCTCCAAAAATCCAATCGATAACCACTTTGAAATGATACCTGGCAACCACTTATAATCAGTTGAATTAGGTGGTATTACATTGATGATTCTGTGTAGGGCATTTCCCAAACGAGTATTAGACCAAGTATTTCCAAGCCTTAATACTCATATTCCTGATACTCCAGCCAGACCACGTTGCTATGGTTATAACCTTTCCTACAATGCTTTTCCCTGTGCATTCTTTCTGGCTTTCCTCCAGACCAGCCTTAGTTTGAGTATTAAATGGCTAGCTCCAATCAATACATGCGACAGATGTTGGATTTGAAGCTTTAGGGGTTGCCATTTGTTTCAATTTCTTTGCATGTACCCTAATATACATCTAATGGTCAACGTTATAAAATTGTTGACATGCTACAGTATTCGGTTTTTGTAACAGCTTGAGACTGAAATAAACCCAACATGCAGCAATGGATTACAGTGGATGTGAATCTATAACACTGTGCAAAATACAGCAGGGACGCCTATTGAGCTGATAGTCTTGAACACTGTGCCGCTCAGTGGCTATGTCTCAGTGTGCAAAGCTAAAATATACTAGACATGAATGTCAAGGTTTCCATATTATGGACTTTCAATTTGAATTAACATATCTAAGAATAATATACACTCAAGTAGAAAATGTTATGCATCTAGCAGTTTGTTCAAGGTGTAAGGCATGCACTACACTTCCATGTGGGGTTTGAAAGTCGGAGACCACACTGCAAGTCTGGGATTCAAAATCAACATTATGACTTTAAATCGAAATATTCTCACCAATTCTTCATTTCTAGGTCACACATTTCTGATATCAATCATGTGAACTCCTGCAGATGGTGAGATGTTCTTTGGATCATTCTCAAATCATTTTGGATAACATGATCAGGATTCACACAAACAATTTTTTCTTTGTAAATCACATGCACAGATGAATCGCTCTCAATAATATATTGAATATGCATAAAGAAAGTAAACAGGGTGAATTTTGATTTCATGTTGACTTGAAAACAAACCGGGACTGCTAAAATAGACTATTAAAATACGGCTAAATTTATTTCAAGTTTTCATTTAATTTGTTTTCACTCTAATTGTTATGCTGATAATATAATTTGTAATAAAAACATTTGAGGTTTTTCAGATCATTTTGAAAATTATATATATATATATATATATATATGTGTGTGTGTGTGCTAATATTATAATAAAAATATTTAATTTCTTACAATGTTTAATATACATATGTGTGTGTTTATAGAGTAACATTTTTATGTAATATATACAAACAACATTTTTATTATATATATTAACATAAAAAAATCAAGTTAGGAAATCCTTTTTTTTTCATTACAAATAATATTATAATCATAACAATTGCAGTGAACTAATTCAAATTTAAATATTAAATTTGAGAATTTCAATTCATGTAAAGTTTAAAGAATTTCAATTCATGCATTCAAGTTTTCATTTCATTTCATTTGTTTTCACTCTAATTATTATGCTAATAAAATAATAAATAATAATAAAAACATTTTAGATTTTTCGAACTTAATTTTTAATAATTTTTTAAAAATGATGTATGTATAATATATATATATATAGATATATATAAACACACACACAAACACATTTCTTGTTATATATATTTACATTAAAAAAATACAAATTAAGTTAGGAAATCCTAAATAATTTTCATTACAAATTATATTATCAACATAACAATTCCAGTGAACAAATGTAAATATTAAATGAGAGAAATTCGAAATGGCATTTCCAAAAGTGGTCTCAGAGTTTTGGACCCCACAGTGTATTTTGTGTTTGGTTTACAGCTTTAGATTTGTGCAGAACCTGAACACTTTTGCATGACACAGTACTGATTTGCATGACCTAGATGACCTACATGTCTTGGCGTGGAGCTGCGGGTCCCCTGTAATTCAGGGTATTTTGTTTTCCACAGTGCAGTAGACAGAAACGTGTTTTGTTGATCATGCAAATTCCTGTGGATGTCGGCATAGCATGAAGGGGAGGGAGGGAGGAATAGTGAGGGGATCAAGAGGGACAGACATTAATTCATCAACTCACCATCATCAAGCACTAAGAGCTTACAGATTATAACATCTGATGCACGTCATAAGTAGACTGAAGGACAAAATCATTCACGCTGTGTGGCTCCACTGCATAACACATCCAGCAGGAAATTATTACCAGTCTGTAGTTTCATTCCTAAAAATGAACTGAATTCAAATCAGTTTGGGGGTTATAAATAAAACATTCCAAAAACAGAATCTCCTCAATTAGTCTTTGATCCTGATGCCAAAGACGCCATGTGGAGGAAAGGGTCACTGTGCAATTGAGGATATTCACGAGATGCAGCCAACAGGAAGACTGCATATTGTGATTGTTGTATCCAAGTGGCCAGTGTTCGGTCACTTGGCACCCAGGGCTATTTTTAGGGTGTGTGTTTGTGTGTCCAGGTCCTGAGCAGGATGACTGAAGCTGAATCAGCACAGCCAGCGGCCCGACCCCTGTGAGCGCTTCCTCCTCCTCTTACAGATGTAGTAGATAGGCAGAGCAAACAAGCCTGCGGAGAGATCAGTCACAACACAGGACAGCTCAGTCACACCGCAACGAGGTTGAAAACAAGAAACTAATCTAGCCATTCGATCATATGTGTGCCATTAATGTGAAAATATATATATATATATATAAAACTGAAGCAAATTCAAACATAGATACATAAATAAAAATGTTTTGGTTCAGTACACATGTGTACTGAATGAATACAGTTTTTTTAACCAATGCATGTTCAGAACTTCTGTGGAAGTTGAGCTATTGATATTTAGAAACTCTTTTTGCAAGGTATATTGATTTATTTGGGAGTGCAATAATTCAGACTAAAAGATACGTTTTGCTAAAATATTTTGCATCCAGAAGTGGAAGAACAAATCTCTTCTGCCAATTACAACAGAACCATAAACTGCAGTATAAAGAGTGTTGCAGCAGTACCGACTGACATTTTATTAAAGACAAAGCTATAGATTGTTCAGTAAACCCCTATTTAATAAAAAAGAAAAAAAATTGCATTTTGAATTAATTACTTTTTATGTATTTATTTATTTATTATAAATTTTTTTTTTTATGGGATTTGTTGTCCCATCTTCAATTTTATTTTCATTATTATAAAGATTTTATTTTTTACTTTCAGGACCATGAAGGTTTTTTTTTTTTTTTTTTACTTCTACAGATGTAAATGTCTTATTTTATTACTTATTTTAATCTTTTTATTACATATTTAATAGTAGAGATTAATCAAATGTAATTATTGAGCAATATGGACAGCCCAAATCAATATGTTAATTATTTTTGAATTTATATATAGTCAAGTTGGACTTTAAAAGATGCCAAAGATCCGATCTGAACATTAGGTAAGGGATAATGACAAAAACAGACAGGATGATTCGCCTCTTTTTAACCAATGCATGTTCAGAACTTCTGTGGAAGTTGAGCTATTGATATTTAGAAACTCTTTTTGCAAGGTATATTGATTTATTTGGGAGCGCAATAATTCAGACTAAAAGATACGTTTTGCTAAAATATTTTGCATCCAGAAGTGGAAGAACAAATCTCTTCTGCCAATTACAACAGAACCATAAACTGCAGTATAAAGAGTGTTGCAGCAGTACCGACTGACATTTTATTAAAGACAAAGCTATAGATTGTTCAGTAAACCCCTATTTAATAAAAAAGAAAAAAAATTGCATTTTGAATTAATTACTTTTTATGTATTTATTTATTTATTATAAATTTTTTTTTTTATGGGATTTGTTGTCCCATCTTCAATTTTATTTTCATTATTATAAAGATTTTATTTTTTACTTTCAGGACCATGAAGGTTTTTTTTTTTTTTTTTTTAGCATTGTGCACTTCTCTCCAAATTCCTAATTCCTGTAAGTGTCTGATTACTTTTTTGAGTGTGTTTTTCAAACATAAAAAAAAAGAAAAAAAAAAAGTAATTTCACTAGTAATTTCATTAGTCTCTTTCATGTTCTTATTAGAGATGAAGTGAATCCCATTACTGTTAAAAAACATTAAATTAATATATAAATACATAAATTAATGGCAATAAAACAAATATTGCCAAGATGCATATAAATAATTAATTTCTGTAATATAAAAATATCAATTTCTTGGAAGTAGACAGCTGAATGATAGAGATAAATGATACCCAACATCCTAAGTCAGCCATATTTCCTTTCCACAGTTTTGAATGTTGAAATAAATTGCTGCATTTCACCATTGTATTTTATGTCACAACCACATTTATGTTTTCATTATAGAACTGAGAAAGGTGCTTAATTGTCATGAAAATAATGTTAACATTATAATATATATATATATATATATATATATATAATAACTTATACGTTTTTTGTGATCAGGGCTGAACAACTGAATGGAGCAGCAGAAAAATCCTAGTGTTGAGCTCTGTGTTAACAAAATTTTGCTATAAGTTTGATTGCATCATATAATAATTGCTGTTAATAGTGTTCATCGTCTGTTTGATTACGTCTTTAATTGAAACGAGCAACAGAAAAGAGTTCAGGCTCACAAAAACAAACACATTTAGAATTCTTATCTACTGCTGGACTAAGAGAAGATGGAGTGCATTTGTCTTTCTCAACAAGTCAGTCGGTTAAAGTGAACCCTGTGACCTGTATACCAAACACTTGTGTCGGTGATGTATTGATGGTTGGGTATTATACTACAGTTCGTTGCACTAGCCTGAGGACACCCAACAAACACTGGCTCATGTAAAGTATACACAGATATGCAAACTAAAAGCAGATCATCATGGAGTCGGTCATATCTCTGTGCTATTACTAACTGGCGTTATCAGGGAGTTGTAAACTAGCATGGTCTGAAATAGTGTAAACTGTTCTTTTAGGTGCTCTATTTGTGTCAAGAATTTATTTTTGTGATAAAACCTAGAAATGAACTCTTTGTACTTTGTCTGCGTAAAAAGAAGTGCAAGGGTTGTACAGCTATATACAAACAAAAAAATATACATATTTAACTTTACAGTTATATACAAAATTGTACATATACACACAACAGTGTGTTTATTTACTAATGTTTATTGGTGAGCTTGCAATCTAAATGAAGTCAATATAATAAAGAGATGATACATAAATAATCTGTGTATCATTCGATCATTCGTTTTTTTATTTAATATTGAAAGTAGAAAAATGAGAAAACGGCTCCTTTTTCGTTTTTTTTCCCCAAAAAACGAAAAACGAGTATTCAGCTTCAATTTTCATTTTTCGTTCAGGGGTAGAAAAATTAATAAGCTTGAATATTTGATTTCTACACGTGGGCAGGAATTAAACACCCCTTTCTGCTGATTGGTCAGCCGAAGATCAAACCGTGCCATCATCAGTTCTTCCGCAGTATCCCGCAGCAGAATAATAGTCCTCTGCTGCTGCAGTTGTATGGATTCTTAACACATTTATTGCAACTACGTTTCATCTTTTTGAGCCGTTTTCTCATTTTTCTACTTTCAATATTAAATAAAAAAACGAATGATCGAATGATATGGATTTACCCTGATTATAAATAATACAACTTTGGCCATGTTTGACTCAAAATGATCAGAAAACTGTTTTTTTTCTATGCATTCTTTTAAAGCAAATAAAAAAATGACAGTTTGTAAAGTTTGTGAGACTTAAATATGTCTTCATTGTTGGCTATTGTTTTGTACAGTTTCATAATTATCATTTCTAAATGTGATTGGGTTCAAGGAAAAAAAAATCCAGTAGGAAACACTGATATATGCAGTAAAATACTTAGCAGGCAGCAGTAAGAAACAAGCAGGTTATGAAAGCACCTAAAAGCACATTATGATAACAAATGGACAAGAAAACTCAAGATGAGCCAATGTTATGTTTCCAAGGTAACCCCAAATATTCCAAAATAACTTAAATAAATCAAGTTGTGTTCTCTGCTTATGCACACTCACTACAAACAGAGCCTCGGACCAGCCGGCGCAGATGGGGTTTCTCAGGCAGGTAGCGGTACTTGCATCCAAACACACTCAGGTTGGAGGTGTGGTCCCCAAAGAAGCGCAGATGCTTGTACTTCTCCCCGCAACGATAACAAAAGTTAGTTTTGCACTGTGTGCAGGTCATGTGATCACAGCCCTCCGTTCTCTGAATGTGGATCTGTTGGTATGGAGAAGAAATCATTTGGCAATGAGTAATCAATTCACAATGATGCACCATCCAGCCATTTATTTTTTTCACTTGTTTTTAAAATTTCTAGTCAGATCTGTGAGCTAGTGGGGCAGATTTTCTTGAATCTGGGCCAGTGACTGACATGTTCAATTAGTGAAAGCTTAGAGCACACAAAATGATAATTTACAATGATTACACTGTGATTATTCCAACAAACAATGCACTTCTCAGTATAATGGGTTGAGAAACTCGTTCAGAAAGGGAAGGTTCTCAATGGGAAGATCTTAGCTAAGCCTTCAGGTATCTGGCTCAGGTATGCGCACTATGCTAAACACTTGTGTTACGATGGGTCCTCCAAAGCATCATGAATGCACATGTCTGGATGGAAAACAGCAACGCCTTGTAGAACTTGTTGATCTCTTGAAATTGTTTCAGTGAAGAGAAAATGATCTTGAGTGAACTTTCATTCAGGATCACTTTGCCCAGACCCCAGTATTATGACATGGAATGCCATTTTTCCCAAGACCGTAATTAAATTTAGCCAGGGGGAAAGGAAAAGAAAACAGACAAGAAACACAATCGTTCCTCACTATCTCAGACGGGAACATTCAGTTTGTACAATGACTGACTCTGTTTATCTGAACTACGTAACTCCTATTCATTTTAAATGGGCCATATTTTACATTGCATTTTATATATCCCCTGAAGGCTTGTAAAGTGTCTTCAACTTAAAACTGTGACAGATGAGTTTTCCACTCTCTCTCTGACTAAAATTAAATGAAAATGAAGAAGACTTCAGTCTGATTTTACAATAAGCTTCTAATGACATTAGGTAATGCAATAGCTAACATAAAAACTGTATTCAAGTTGTATAAATAAACATTAGTTAACGTATTAAATGAACATGAATTGATGAAATATATAATATATAACTTATGTTAACAAATTGAACTTTATTGTAAAGTATTACTAAGACTATATACAAATGACCTGCACTACCATTCAAACATTTGGGGTTAGTAAGAATTATTTCTTTATTTATTTTTAAGGAAATGAATACTTTAATTCAGCAAGGATGCATTCAATTGACCAAAAGTGACAGTAAGGACATTTATAATGTTACAAAATATTTCGATTTCAAATAAATGCTGTTCTTTTGAACTTTTTATTCATCAAATAATCCAGAAAAAATTGTATCATGGTTTCCACAAAATTATGAAATAAATAGGAGCTTATATGTAAATGTAGGAGGGCATATGTTAATATACTCATGGTTGTGATGTCAATACCATACCAAATGTGGTATTATGAACATTGGTGTACAGTAGTACTGTAGTAACTCTTCAATGTCAAAAAATGAACAAAAATCCAGTTTTCAGTATATGTACAGAGCATTTTAGTAGAGCATGTTCATTACCTTGCAGCGTGGACACTTCTGAGCGTTCCTCTGGCCACGTTCGATGACGCTGGCCCAGTGACGCAACAGTTTGTCTCCTTTCCTGTAGTCTCGACACTTCAGGCCTTCATGCCAGGGCGCGTGGCATTTGAAACACCAGACAAACTGGCACTTTGTGCACTGAATCTGTGGGGAACATTTGAAGAGACAGACAGACAGTTTGCTTACTCAAGAAAGCCTTTTGGCAAAGAAAGTCACTCTGATTCAGTTTAGACAAATAATTCAACATTATAATGTTGTTAACTACAGAATAGACAACATGCGAAAAACCAGACCTTATACTTATGTTCACTCTTGGTGGACGTCTGTTGGCTATGATCCTTCAGGGAGGTAAACAGGCTGCACTGGGGACACGGTTTGGTGCTGGAGTCCAGTCTGCTCAGCTCCAAGAAGTACTTATATTTTGTCAGCTCTTCACTGGACAGGTTCGAAATCACCAAACTATCCTCCAAGAAACCACTGCACTCTGTGATGGGACACACCAAGTGTGCCCGACCCACGTGAACCTTAAAAGAAAAATGCAATCAGCCAAATACATGGAAAACCGCAGCATTAATGCAGTGGTAAACCTTCACGACTCTATGAGCAGTTAAATATGTAATCCACCCTGTTTGAGAACAGTTAACAGTACAGTGAGTATGATTTAGTGTTCTTAGAAATTGTGGCTTTTAATCGGTGATTACAAGCGAGGACAGAAGCAACAGGAAGTCCAAACGATCTGTGTACACAAGCAACTCAAATAGCCACTGTACAAGCAGCATTGTACCTGAGGTACTTCCAAGTCAACAAGCAACGTCACCTTCTCAAACAATCACTGAAGTACGGTAATACGTGATTGAAGAGGGCTCAGCAGGTAGGAACGAACCCTAGGGGCTAGTTTGCACAGGCTGAATGCGGTATGATTTGTTGATAAATGGATCTGTGTTGAATGACCTTTCCTAGTTTCCGAGAGGGAGTTAAGTGATCTCATGGATCAGTGAGATCCATTTCATTCTCATTGTTCACATAACAGGGCTTTGGTGTAGTCCTACAGCTGCGGGACTGTGACTATCTGCACCTCCCCTGTGAGAGGATTACATCCTGCTTCTGGTTCCCCACCCATCTTCCTTCGTCTCCCCTCTGGGACGACAGGATTACTGAGCATTTCCATTGCGAGAACTAATCTACTCTCCGCCCTCCTATTTTTATGCTGGGATAGCAAGCAACAGCATTTAAGGGACATTATCTGAGGTGACAAGAAAAGTGTTTGGTCAAGAGACATCTGTAAAATCAGGCAAGTCTTGGGTAGTTACGAATCAGCTGGAATAAAATCTGCCGTGACATCTGGAAGTAGGCCTGTCATGATAACAACTTTTTGTTGTGCGATATATTGCCCCAGAAATAATTGCAATAAGCAATATTATTGTAATTTTAAAGACCATTTTATGTCACTGAATATATAATCATAATGTAACAGCATAATAATGCAAGAAGGCCTACACACTTCCAAATGACAACAA